CCCTCAACCTTCTTCCATGCTCGAGATGTGGACCTTGCTCACTGCTTGTGTTGCCATATCATTTTTGGTTTATGGAAATGCTTATTTTGTTCAGGAGCCCTACTTTTGAGTTTTAGTTTTCCTTTGTGTCTTCTGTTGCCATATGCTTAGAGAAGAATTGGCACATCAAGTATGAATTAAAACTTTATCTTATTGAGAAATCGCCAGGTACATTCTAAACAGTAAATACTTAAGTAGTCTGGTGCATAAAGGTGTGCACATAGGGCAGTGAGCATGGACGTGGTCTACATCTGGAACAAGGAATTAGGATAACTTGGTCCTGAGAGTAGTTGGGAGCTGCTAAAAGGTTTAAGCTAGAGAAAGACATAATCAGAATAAAGGTGGTTGTTTTTAATGTCCCTCACTTAGTTCAGTAGGGGGAACGAATTGGTTAAAAAGACAAGCAGTGGGACACTTGGGTGGCTCATTGTGTGGCTCAAGCCTCTGCCCTCGGCTCAGGTCATGTTCCCAGGGTCCTGGGATCAAGCCCCACATCAGGCTCTCTGCTCAGCAGGGAGCCTGCTTCCTCCTGTCTCTCTGCCTGCCTCTGCCTACTCTTTCTCTGTAAAATAAATAAATTTTTAAAAAATAAACAAATAAATAAAAAGCAGTACAGGGATGTTTTTAAAATTAAGTGAAATAGGGCTCCTGGGTGGCTCAGTTGGTTAAGTGATTGACTTCGGCTTGGGTCACGATCCTGGAGTCCCAGATCTATCCCACATCGGGCTCCCTGCTTGGCAGGGAGTCTGCTTCTCCTTCTGACCTTTCTCCACTCATGCTCTCTCTCATTCTCTCTCTCTCTCCCAAATAAATAAAATCTTTAAAAAAAAAATTAAGTGAAATAGGGGCGCCTGGGTGGCTCAGTGGGTTAAAGTCTCTGCCTTCAGCTCAGGTCATGATCCCAGGGTCTTGGGATCAAGCCCCGCATCAGGCTTTCTGCTCGGCGGGGAGCCTGCTTCCTTCTCTGTCTCTCTCTGCCTGCATCTCTGCCTACTTGTGATCTCTGTCTGTCAAATAAATAAATAAAATCTTAAAAAAAAAAAAAAGTAAGTCTTTAAAAAAATAAATAAAATAAAATTAAGCAAAATAATAGTCTGTACCTAGGTAGTGACAGTGGAGATAAAAGTGGATAGACTGATCAGTGGTTTGAGAAGATAGAACTCACAGGGCTTGGTAATTGAAGGTGATGCTTGGTAATCCTATTTCTTAATTTCGGGAAGTCAGGCAGTATACAATGAGAGTGGTGTTGCATTTGAGCTAGGAATGCTCAGATGATGTTTCACATGTGTTCTTTAGCTCAAGAGAGAGGGGTCGGCTGTAGATGCAGATTCAGGGTCATCACTGTAGACAGCACAGTTACAGCCCTAGGGTGAGAGTGGGGTCACTGCTGAGAGTTGGAAGGGAAAGAAAAGCCAGAGATGGAAGGCAGCCACATAGGGAAGACTAGAGGAGGAGGAGGAAGATCAGAAGAGAGAAGTATGCTGAGCGTTTTAAGGAGGCCTGCAGCATCTGCTGAGGCAGAGATGCCAGAGAAAGAGGCTGGGAAGTTCCATTGGGAAGTAGCACTGGAGAGGGTATTGGTGCCCTCATTTGTTGGGTATGAGGGGTGTGGGGTTGCACAAGGTTAGGAGGTGGATCTTGGATGTAGCAGGCACTTAGGAGTTGATCTGACAAGGACGAAGGCAGTGTCTAGAGGGGAAGGGATCGATGGACTGTTTGTTCCTTCTTCCTAGAGAAGTGCGTAAAGCATATTTAACTGCTGTCTAAATAAGACTGCCTATAACTGTATTTAAATTTTGTTTTTGTTTTTTGTTTTGGTCTGGTTTTTGTTTATATTGGTTTTTTTTTGGTACTAGTTTCTTAAGCTTTAAGGATTTAGTATATTAAATTGGTTTTTAGAATTAGAAGAAATAAACACGGGGAGAGATTTTCAGAAATTTTTGAAACAAAATTTAAAAAACCTTTCATCTCAGAAATAATATATAAAATTGGTCATTACCACAGTGTGAAGGGGTGGAGAAACCACATTCTCACCCACCGATGTGGGGCATATGATTGGTTCCAGCAGGGCTTTTCAATCTTCTCCCTCCTGGCATTGTGGGCCAGATCATTTGTAGCATGTATAACAGCATCCCTAACTTCTGCACCAGATGCCGTAAGTACCCACCCTGTAACAACCAGAAATGTCTCCATACATTGCCTGAATTCCCCTGGGGGGGGGGGGAACACCCCAGTGGGAACCACTGAGTTACATTCTTTTGAAGGGCATATTTGTCAGCTATTCCATGAGATGCATGCCCTTTGACCTAGCACTTGCACAGCTTAAAAACCTACTCTGTAGAAATACTGTCTGGAGTAGTAGCATACCAGATGGCCTTGTTTTTGTAGGAAAGCTTACTGGCTTGCCCTGGTCCTTTACAATATGTTATTTAATTTCATCCTCAGTGTTGTGAGGCGGAAGTACTGTGATCCCCTTTCAACAAATGGAAACAGTGAGACTCAGAATAGGGACTTACTTGACGTCCCTTAGCCGGTAAATAAATGACAGACAGGAGAGAACATAGATGTAGGTGTTTTTACTCTGGAAATGGTCTTTGAACTGTGTCCAGGTCCATCTTAAATTTGCTGAATTCAAATTTGTATCTATGCTCAATTAGTCTCCTTTAAAGCAGTCTTCTAGGGAAATGTTGAAATTACTTTGTGGTGCTGGGAGACTTGATCTGAAGAATAGAGCACGCTAGAGCTTAGGAAGGCCTGGTGTTTGTTCTGACTTGGAACAGATGTTATCTTTTTTAGAGTTGCCCATTTCCGCAGGAGTCAGGGATGAAATTGTAGTACAGATTTCAGTACTGTTCACTGAGTAAAAGAGGCATACCACTGTTTACTTAACAGTTTGTAACTCTTGGTGAGACCCTATGCCAAGTTTTTTTCTCCCTCTCCAACATTCTTGTCCTTCTCTTCACAGAAATTCCCAAGCTCACGTGTGGAGAAAGGGGCAAACACAGATTGGTAGTTATTATCTTACAGCTAAGTAATTACTGTTCCTTTTTTCCCTGTCGTAGGCCTGTAAAAGAGGAAATTCTGATATTGTACGACTTGTAATCGAATGTGGAGCTGACTGCAATATTTTATCAAAGCACCAAAACAGCGCACTGCATTTTGCAAAGCAGTGTAACAACGTGTTGGTGTACGACTTGCTGAAGAATCATTTAGAGACGTAAGTGTGAGCAAGTGTGCCATGGTTAAGTCACAGAGTCTGTGTGGACACATCATGTGTATAATTGCTCAGATGAAGATTGTTAAGTGGAAGTCATGACAGGTTTCTGTTCTCAAAATATCATAAATTTAATAAGCGGCATATGAATTATTTTCCTGACAGTTATTGAGGTCTCAAACTTTAAAATTTAACACTGACACTCCTAGATAGGAGTATCTCCTTAAAAATCTTAATTATGCTCATAATTTGACTCATGCTTTCTTAAAACTAATCTGTATTTTTTTTTAATAGACATGATTTTTTCAAGCAGTTTTAGATTCACAGTGAAGTTGAGCTAAAAGTACAGAGTTCCTACATATCCTCTGCTTCCATACATGCACAACCTCCCCTACTAACATCTGTCCACCAGAGTGGTGCATTTGCTAAAACCAATGAACCTGCATTGACAGTTACCATCCAGAGTCCATGGGTTTACATTAGGGTACACCTTGGTGTTGCGCATTTTGGAGTTTTGACAAATGTATAATGACGTGTACCCACCATTAGTGTCATACAGAATAGCACTGCCCTAAAAATCCTCTGTGCTTTGCCTGTTCATCCCTTCCTGCCCCTGCCCCCCGACCCATGGCAATCACTGATCTTTTTGCTCTCTCCATTGTTTTGCTTTCTCCAGAATGTCATGCAGATGGAATCATAGTACTTGCCCTTTTCAGATTGGCATCTTTCACTTAGTAATATGCATTGAAGATTCCTCCATGTCTTTTTTTTTTTAATTTGTTTGCTTTAATTCCAGTTAGTTAACATAGTATTATATTTCAGCTGTACAATATAGTGATTCAGCAACTCTCTATATTAACTCAGTGCTCATCACTCTTAATCCCCTTCACTGATTTCTCCCATCTCCCCATCCCCCCACCCATCTCCCCTGTGGGAACCATCAGTTTGTTCTCCATAGTTGTCTGTTTTTTTGATTTGTCTCTTTATTTTTCCTTTGTTCATTTGTTTTGTTTCTTAAATTCCACATATGAGTGAAATCATATGGTTTTTGTCTGACTTATTTCACTTAGCATTATACTCTCTTGATCCATCCATGATGTTGCAAATGACAAGATTTCATTTTTTATGGCTGAATAATTTACATACTACCTCTTCTTTATCCATTCATCATCTATCGATGGACATTTGGCTGCTTCCATAATTTGGCTATTGTAAATAATACTAAATAATACTGTATAAACATAGCGGTCCACCATGTCTTCGTGGCTTAGCTTATTTCTTTCTAATGCTGAACAGTATTCCATTGTCTGGATATACCACAGTTTATCTGTTCAAGTTCATTCTTTTTCAGATGAATTCTAAATCATTTTATTTTAATTGAAAATCACACAAGTAACTTAGCTTTTTCCTTAAGAATTATTCTGGCTTACTCTGTCATCAAAAAGAATGAAATCTTGCCATTTGCAACTATGTGGAGGGATCTAGAAGGTATTACGCTAAGCAAAATAAGTCAGTCAGAGAAAGACAAATACATGATTTCACTCGTGGAATTTAAGAAACAAAACAGATAACATAGGGGAAAGGAAGGAAAAAATAAGATGAAAATTGAGAGGGAGGCAAACCACCAGAGAGGCTGAACTCTAGGAAACAAACTGAGGGTTGCTGGAAGGGAAGATGAGTGTGTGGGGCGGGGGGGGGGGGGGGGGGGAATAAGCAGGTGACAGTAAGGAGGGCACTTGATGTAATGAGCACTGGGTGTTATATGCGACTGATGAAACACTAAATTCTGCCTCTGAAACTAATTAAAAGAAAATTATTTTGACAACACGTAACAGAAACGTCACAAACAGTTGTTAACACGAGTAAGATGTTTATTGTTCAAAGTAACAGCGAGTCTAGAGGTATGACTTGGATCTTCATGCCTGCATGATAGTTACTCCAATTCCAGGATCTATATTCTAGGTAGAAAGTAAGGTAAATTTCAGATGAGAGACAAAAAACAAACCAAAAATGGCACGTACGTCGTGAGTCTTCCAGCCTTTGCTGGGAGCTTTACCCAACCCGTAATTTCTCTGTGTGTCCATGACCCAATACAGTGGATTTCCACTCCTAAAACCTGAATATCTTGGGAAAACCAAATGAGTTGGTTACCTTCCTGCAAGATAGTTTAAAAATATTTTCTGAATTAGCACTAATCTGCATTAGCATTTTATTTAACTGTCTTCTAAACTAAGTACTATAAATGTGTGTGTGTGTGTTTGTAGCACTTCTCAAATTTATTGTTCAGTAGAATTTTCATTTTCATTAGACAAATAAGTATTGAGTGCTCCTGTACGCAGGAACTATTCAGAAGACTGGGAAGATGGAGAGAGCAGCCGGGGGGGAAAGACTGGCCCTCTTAGAGCCTAAATTCCCTGTGGCAACATAGACAGTAAGACAGTGTGTCAGATGCTAAGTGCTAACGAAAAATACACCAGGGAAGCAGGATGAGTAGGAAATTACATTCATTTTAAAGGTTGATATGGGAAGGCCTCATGTATTCAGCAGTTTGATAATATGACTCATGGTTATTTTCTACATTAATATTAACAACTCTTACTATACTTTTTGCCTAGACTGTCAAGAGTAGCAGAAGAAACAATAAGGGATTACTTTGAAGCACGTCTTGCTCTATTAGAACCAATTTTCCCAATAGCATGTCATCGTCTCTGTGAGGGGCCAGATTTTTCAACAGATTTCAATTACAAACCCCCACAGAACATACCAGAAGGTAAGCCTATGTTTTTCTGTTTGAAAATTGACACGGTAAATATCAGCTGATTTCTAATCAGATGTGGGCCTGTTGAGGGTGGTATGGCCATAGACTGTCAGCTGATTTTTAAATAGAACTCTGTGAACATATCTTCACAGAATCCCATTATGTATAATAATTATGTAAAATAGTTAACAGCAGAGCTACTCTGGCAGAAAAAGGTGACCCAGCTGATATCTACCATCCCAGGTGACTTTGAGGGATCCACGGAGCACTGTTAGTTAGCACTTGTTTAAAAACCATAGGGGTGCCTGGGTGGCTCAGTCAGTTAAGCATCTGATTCCTCATTTTGGGTCAGGTCATGATCTCAAGGGTCTTGAGATTGAGCCCTAAGTTGGGCTCTGTGTACAGCAGGGAGTCTGCTTGAGATTTTCTTTCTGTCCTTCCACCCCCCTCAAATAAATCTTAAATTTTTTTAAAAATGAAAAAGCATGGAAGTTAGAACTGTTCTTTCTGCCTTGGGTCTTGAAAAAAGTATGGAAGTTGGATCTTAATTATTGTACTAACTTTTGTTAAACTTGATTAAAATAAAAAGTCAGTGTCTTGACCCACAGGAAAGTTGAATAGCAGGAGGTGGAAACTTTAGTTCTGGTTCCTAACCTCTCCTTAACAGCTGCTCTGCAGGCAAGACCATGACATGGGCATGGCCCTTCTCCAGGACAGGGACACAGCATAAACTGTTTAAGTGGAAAGAACACTGCCTTCATGAAAGTAGGAAACTGGGTTCTGGCTTTTTTGTTAAGAAAAAACGTCCATTAAAAAAAATACATATTGGGTGCTTGGGTGGCCCAGTTGATTAAGCATCTGCCTTTGGCTCAGGTCATGATCTCAGGGTCCTGGGATCGAGTCCTGCATCTGCGCTTTAGCAGGGAGTCTGCTTCTCCTTTTCACTCTGACTCTGGCCACCAGCCCTTGCTTCATTCTCTCTCAAATAAAGAAATAAATCTTTATATATATATGTGTGTGTGTGTGTGTGTGTGTGTAATTAATGAAAATTTAATTAAAGACACCTATTACATAACACCTGTGTTTAGTGAACTTGACATTGAAGAATCACTTGTGGCTTCAACTGTCCAAGTGGATAGTTTGCATTGCTGAGTAGTGAGCACAAGGTTGGGGAAGGGTGTAGGGGTTGCTGAGCTGATCTGGGCCAGTCTCCCAGCATTCACAACTTACAGGCTTCAGTGCACCTGGACTGTCTTAAGGTTACTAATTTTTTTTCTGCACATACACAGTGTGGCTAACAGAAATCTTCTCTATGTGAAATCTTACCAAAGATGCCTTGTCATCCTGATACAAGATCCTGATAGGTTTTCCTGACCCTTGCTAGTCAGTGTGGTCTCAGACTGCTCTGAGAGCTTGTTAGAGATGCAAGCTTGTTAGAGATGCAGACTCTCAGGCCCACCCAGACCTGACTCTCAGTTGACACCTTGGTTAAGATCTCAGGTGATTTATGAACACACTCAAGTTTGAGAAGCACTGACCTTGGTTCCTTGAGGGGATTGTGATTGTGTTTAACACCTAGTTTAGCTGGAGAAAACATTTATACTGATAGCATGAAACAACTGCTAGCAAATTGATTAGGGTTCCTCATGTCATAGTAGGTCTGTGAAATTCAAGTACTTGTCAGAGTAGAGCTAATGAACACAACTTCCTTAGATCTAACTGATTTTGGTTAGAATAAACAGCACCTGAATGAAGGATTTTCAAATAGGATTTTTCACTGTAGACCACTAGTCCCCATTCAGGTCATTTTGAAGAGTTACCACCACTCTCCTCTATAGAGAGAGTAACAAATACCTCAACTTCTGTCCCAGATCAGATGCTCATTCATAGTGGAGCTGAGGGGAAAAAGACAAGAAACAGTCCCTATATTGTGTGTAGGCCTTTTCTTTGGAACCTCAGCACTTTGGGGGCAGGTGTGGGGTGGGTATAGCATTTTAAGTAATCAGTATGACAAACCTTAAATAGCTTCGAAAGGAGAAGAAAGAGAGCTAGGGTTGAATCAGTGTGTCCTCCTTTCCCTGGGACCAGAACAAAAAAAGCCAATGGTTCCTTGGGGGTTTCTTTTATGAAGCCTCCTCTTGTTTATAATTGGGCTGGATCAGTGTTTTTTCATCTTAAAAAATGGCTTATCAGAAAGGTCATAGAGTTCATGTATCTATTTTCTGTTATAATAAAAGTGTAGCTTTGTTCAGAAAAATGAGTCATGCAGAATATTTTGGATATTCAGTGAAAGCTTCAAATTTCACAGTCCCCACCCCACCCTACCCCACCCCACCAAAATAATGGTATTAATCAGAAAATTGGGAAAAGGCAAAAGACTATGTAGAAGAAAATGGACACTCAAACCCAAACCCAGAGAAACCGTCATAGAAGTTTGCATCCAAGGACATTTTACATATTCAGCAGCAACTTTTACCCTTTAAGACCAAAATTAATGTAGAAAGCATATTTAAAAAAATTTGTTCCCTGAGCTGTCAGTAGGGATTACTTGGACAAAAAAATAGAAAGGGGCTGTGGTTTGAAAAAATGCTAGGTAACACCAAGTTTTGAAATTGGGACTCAGATTGTCCGGTATGAGTGGGCATCAGGCAGGGTGTGTTCCACCAGGCTTACTGAGGGGACCACTCCCAACTTGTACAGGTACGCCTTCTTCAGAGTTGAAAGATGGCCTTGGTAGGGTTGATACTAAAATGTATGTTTACATCTCCCTTATTCAGGCTCTGGCATCCTACTGTTTATTTTCCATGCCAACTTTTTGGGTAAAGAAGTTATTGCCCGGCTCTGTGGACCATGTAGTGTACAAGCTGTAGTTTTAAATGATAAATTTCAACTTCCAGTTTTTCTGGTAAGATTTTCTGTAGTTCATTACGGAAAAATACATTCTTCTAATCCAGAAGCACAGATGACTTTTAATGGTGTGTTTTAATAAAACATGTTAATTACAACTAAGCCAATTGGAAATAAGACAATAACCCATAATTATAAAATTTTCCTAAATTTTGTAAGAGTCTGGATTTCTCATGTTTGATATATATGCCCTAAGTTATATTTATCATAATGTCTTAGAATGTTCTGAATATAAATTCTTAAGGTATAAGAAATGTACTGTCTGATTTTTTAAAATATTCTGCCTTTTCCCACCATTATAATTACAAACATTCACCTAAAGGAAATTTAGAGAATTTTAAAAATATACCCATTCTGTGATTCAGATACCTAGAACATGGGTGTATTTATGCCTAGTTTTAATCTGTGTAGCTTTATGTAACCATTATACTTTAATTTTGGTTTATAATAAAATATTAGCAGCTATATAATTTTAACAAAAAAATGGTCTTGAAGAACCTGTATGTTTCCTTTTCTATACTTAGAATTCTTTCCTTAGGCTGACTTAAGCAAAATCAACTGTTTATGAAGATTTTTAACACTCATGCTGTATATGGCTATCCATACACATTATACAAGCTAATCCAATCCTAAAGATTTATCTGGTTGCTGTTTTTGCAGATATATCTTACAAGCTTTTTTGTCATTTGTATCTTTTTAATCAAAAGAAAAGTAATCAGCAAATCGATCTAAAGTATAAAATTTGTGTTCTCTTTTACGTCTTTGGATTCTGAAATGTTTTAAGATACAATGATGTTCTTTGATGTAGAAGTTTGAGAGAACACTGACTGGTTGGTCTCTCTCCCTAGGACAGTCATTTTGTTTACTCGTTCAGCCCTGCTGCAGGCCTCAATAAACTCTTCATAAGGTTGACGGAAGCGCCTTCTGCCAAGGTGAAACCCTTTCCTTACATTTAGTGCAGCTACGCATATTGCTATTTCAGATTACTTTATCGGCAGAAAAAAATTCCAAGAATGCTGTGTTCCTGGTGTGCCTGTCCTGGAGACCAGTGCTTTCTGGGATAGCAGTGCACCAGAATCTACAGATGTGTTAGACATAAATTGTGTGTCAAGAAAGGGACTGATGGGGCGCCTGGGTGGCTCAGTGGGTTAAGCCTCTGCCTTTGGCTCAGGTCATGATCTCAGGGTCCTGGGATCGAGTCCCGCATCAGGCTCTCTGCTCAGCAGGAAGCCTGCTTCCTCTATCTGCCTGCCTCTCTGCCAAATAAATAAATAAAATCTTTAAAAAAAAAAAAAAAAAGAAAGGGACTGATGGTAAGGATGCATCTCTCCAGTATTGAGGAGTCGAAGCTGTAGTTCTTGCCTTTGTTATTTAATGTATAACATTTTATGTATGTCCGTAGGCTGTTCACTGAAGGTGGACCAAAAGTCTGTGTAACAAAAGTGGTAACCTAACACCCTGAATTGATAACCAATTTGAGAACATTGCCAAATAAGACAAATCTCGGTTGTGTGAGTGTTTTCCCTCTTTGAAGAAAGAGGAACTTGATAGAGGTATCTGTACTGATACTTACGCCTGTTTTCTTTCAAAAGGTTAAACTGCTAATAGGTGCATACAGAGTACAGCTGCAGTGAGGAACGGAAAGTTGGGATGGAGTTATTTCCAGGCCTATTTTGGAACTCTGGCACAGCTAACACCTCCAGAATTGAAGTTTCATCTGTAAACCTCTTGCAGTTTCAGGCCTGTTATCTGTTACAGGCTCTAACACAGGACATGGTGGTTCTAATATATTATAAAATATAGATGTAAGTATTTGTGCCAGTGTTCTGAAATTTTGATGTTGTCTCCAGACTGCATAATTCAGTTTTTCCACAATGTGGAAAGGTACATGGAAGGATTATTTAAGAAAATTAAAAGTCTTTTTTCTAGCTTGAAATTTTCTACTAGCCCTGGTGAATTTGTGCATTAAAAACAATTAAGCGTGGATGTGATATTCAAGTCACTGAAGCACTAAATAAGGTATCAATTTGCTGCCCTTAAAGGATGACTTCCTAACTTGGTAGGCAGATTTGAGGGAGGAGGTCTGAGCTGTTCGTAATATGCATTTGCCACAGATCCTGAATTGGAGGTGAAAACTTTGTGTATTTGCAGTTATCCTTTATTCTTTGAAAAGATAATAAATCAGAATCTAAGATACAGAAAAAAAAAGGAAAAAAATGTAAGCCAGGACACTATGGGGCCTAAAGAACATAGTACTTGTGGACTTTTATCCTTGTTCTTTCATCTGTCAAGTAATTTTCAAAAGCCAGATCCTGTGCCCTTAACAAACACTGACTGGGAAGGCCAGCCAAGGCTTATTTGCCATACTGTGCCTCATGTGAAGAGTTACTGCTTCTAGAGATTCCCCACAGATCTCTCATAGTCTCTTAAGACATTTGGCTAACTAAAAAGTCAAATTCAGTCTGGACTTGGAGATTATAAAATTATTTAGTTCATGACTGGTTTTATAATTTTAATGAAAAATTTTCAGAATGTCATACACTAGACCACATACATTGTATAGACATTTCAGAGAGCCATTTTTACTTTACATACTGCCTTTTCCTACAATGTTCTCAATAAAACACCAAATGTTGGTCTATTTTCTTTGTATCTCAAGTCTCAGGACTTCAAAACCAGGGGGATACTAATGTGTAATTTTTTAGCTAAATGACAGCTGGGATTGGAATTTTTTCATCTACATTGAGTCATGTATGACTAGCACTATATCTGACTTCACAGCTTTCTAGGAAAAAAGTTGTGAGATTTGAGTTAGCAGTGGGGTGGGGGTCAGAACAGTCAGGGAGAAATGCATTTTTAAAGAAAATTTCTGTCTCAAAATCATGCTTAAGATATTATTAGCTTTACAAGAGGCAAGTTCATCCAAGAGGCTAGGCCAGGCTAGAAATCAAGTAGGAAATCTGATGAATAATTTCCTTAGAAGTTTAGGTTCAGAAGTATGACAGCTGGGAAGTCAGCAAGGATTAAAAAACAAAAAAAACAAAACAGGGGCACCTGGGTGGCTCAGTAATTAAGCATCTGCCTTGGGCTCAGGTCATGACTGAGCCCCACATCAGGCTCCCTGCTCTGTAGGAAGGAAGCCTGCTTCTGTTCCCTCTCTCACAATCTGTCAAATAAATAAAATAAAATCTTTAATTTTATTAAATAAATAAAATCTTCAAAAATCAAAAACGTGTAACATGAAGAAAATAACTGAGCAAGTTATTTTGACAGAAGCAGGGTCAGGGAAGGAAGACAGAAGTGTGAGATTATTTGAGGTTAACACAACCTTTGAGTTGTCCATCTCAACTTCTACCAGTTTTATTTAATGCCAGATGTGGCAGTAAGTTATATAAACAGTTGCATCTACTAGGAATAGAAAATAGAGCCACAGAATTTAATACCTTTTGTTCTATACCTTCTCTATATTTATATATTTAATACCTTTTGTTCTATACCTTCTCTATAGCCAAATGAAAACCATACCTGTCCACTCTGAAAGTTCTGGTTTCTTAAGGATGGAGAAGACCTGAATCGTTTAGAGACTCGCACTTGAGTGGTTTCTTGCTGGTTCTCTGACTAGGCAGTTAATTCCATCAGATACTGATAATGCTGCTACTTTGACATTTAAATAAAATTTGTACAAAGTGTGAGCCATGGTTTCTCTGGAAAACAAACCATGACCAGATGATTTACAGATTTGCTTAGTACCATAGGTCAAAACCAAAGCAGTCTTCTTAGAAAGCATATATGATACAGAATATGGAACTGAGCTTTATATCTAGGCCGTGGGCAATCTTATTAAGCAGATCGTCAAAACTGGGATGCATCATTGTTCAGCCAGACTCAGAGAAAACCAAATAGTACACATTTTTATTTCAGTTTTATATTAACTTAAACAAAATAAATCAGGAGCACCTGGATGGTTCAGTTCGTTAAGCATCTGCCTTTGGCTCAGGTTGTGATCTCAAGGTCCTGGGTTTGAGCCCCACGCAGGACTCCCTGCTCGGGGGGGTGGTAGTCTTCTTGTCCCTCTCCCTCTAACCCTCCCCACCCACTGCTCGCTCACTCGCTCTCAAATAAAAAAAAAAAAAAATCCTCTCCCGTGCATATGGCAGTAAGGACAACATAATTGGGTTATTCAATTAATTTAAGTTCTATGTCATTCAGATCTGGTCCACTCTAATGACTATGGTTGTAGTAGAAAGCACATTATACATGTTTTGTTTTGTTTTGTTTTAAGATTTTATTTATTTATTTGACAGAGATCACAAGTAGGCAGAGAGTCAGGCGGGGGGCGGGGGTGGAAGCAGGCTCCCTGCTGAGCAGAGAGCCCGATGTGGGGCTCGATCCCAGGACACTGAGATCATGACCTGAGCTGAAGGCACAGGCTTAATCCTCTGAGCCACCCAGGCGCCCCATACATGCTTCTTTATCACCATAGTACCAAAGAGCAACATCCAGTATCCAAACTACTCAAATGTTGAACAGCTTCAGTTAGGGAGTTTGGTTTAGCTCTGAGAAGAGGTCATTTGCGTATATCATCTTCCCAAGTCATTCCGGTCTTATTCAGTGAAATGTCAGGAGGTTGCAGTTTGAAACTCAGGTGTTTTTAGAATTGACTCAGTGTTACACTGGTAGCTTTCAAAGTAAGAAAATACTAGTGGTGGAAAAAGGCTTAGTAGCATCCAGAATATTAATGGTGAAAGGACCTGATAAAGCATTTACCATGCAAGTCTAATGTCTTTAAAGCAAGGAGGATGATAAGCAAAGACCAAGGAAAAGGAGGATATACACACCAGCACTATCAAAAAGTGATTTATGAAGTAAGAATTTGGAAAATCTTAATATTTTTTGCAGTTAATTTTCCATAGCCTAAAACTATGTAAACCCTTAAAATTGTTTTTAAGTTTTTAAAGCTTTATTGGTCCAAGTGTTGGTAAGTAAGTAAGTAAAGTTGGTAAGTAAGTAAAGTTGGTTACCAACCAGTTGGTTGGTAAGTAAATGCAGAGAACCACTGATTAGAACCCACACTGCTTTCCTCCATCCAGTGCTCACTTGCAGATAATGCTCCTTTCAGACCAGATCTGGGATTTCTAAGCTTTCCATCTTCCTCCAAGTACAGAGGAGCATTACTGGTAAAGCAGAAAATTATAATTACAATGAGTAAACAATCAAATAAGGACCAGGCGTGCCTGGGTGGCTCAGTGGGTTAAGCCTCTGCCTTCAGCTCAGGTCATGATCTCAGGATCCTTGGATCTAGCCCCCCATTGGGCTCTCTGCTCGGCAGGGAGCCTGCTTCCTCCTCTCTCCCTCTTTGCCTGCCTCTCTGCCTACTCGTGATCTCTCTCTGTCAAAATAAATAAATAAAATCTTAAAAAAAAAAAAAAGGACCAAATTAAAATCAGGAAATAGTCCTCTGCCAACTCCCAGAGCTCCCAAGGACCCCAGCTGGAATCCTAACCCTAATACTGGGCATCAGTTTAACTTGGAAAAAAGTAATTTTCCTTTACTGTACAACACACTCTGCCTTGCTCATATCCGCCATTCTTTGCTTTCCTTGGGCTAAAAAATATAGTATGTGGCTTTAGTAAAACATGATCTTTCTCACAACAATGCCAAATTCCATGATGAGCTCTTTATCTTGGGGACTTACCCAAAATCGCAGGCCACATGGGGTGGTAAAAAAAAATCCCTCTAATGGTTCCCATTTATAGGGAGTTGAAAGGGAAGTATGTTGGTTATTCTGTATTTGTGGGTTACTACACCATACTACATTCCATGGCAAGACTACATGAAGGGGTAGGTATACATCTTAATAAAAAACAACAACAAAAAAACACCTGAATGAAAATGGAAGTCTGCATTATTCCAGATTATTTTAACCAAAGAAAACTCCATGAGGCATAATGTCAAATGTTAGGATTACTCATACATCCATAAGCTGTTTACTCATACATTCTTACGTTGTTTATATGGAGTAATAAATTCACAAATGAAATTAGTTTGTTTTCTGGCTTGTTTCTCCTATGTCTTTAAAAGCACTTCGCCCACAAAATGACCTGAAAAAAAGATAAATTCGTTAGCAAACAAATTAGTATCTACTGTGTATTTTCTGTTGGAAACACAGAAGTTTAAGTTACAAAGGAAATAATTTGCCAGGCTAGAGTCACTGAGCAACAGACTTAAAAATCAAGAACTGAAATAATACGCTGGATTTATAAAATTTTCTTCGGCAATCCACCTCTGTAATTAGTATTTTGTTGTGAGCTCGTATAGAGATTAAATGCCTGGAGAGTTAAATACGTTAATGCTAAGGGGGAAAAAAAAAAAACAGCAGTAGCAGTGGTTCTGAAAATGCAGTCCTCACACCAGAGTCAACACCAGCTGTTAGAAATGAGACCTCTCAGGCCCTCTAAATCATAAACGGTGGATCTGCAGTCTTTGTTCTAACAAAGGGGGTTAGGGGGTTCTCCAGGGGGTTCTGTTGCCCCTTGAAAATGTGAGAACCACTGTTTCCTCAAAGGATAACCTGAGGATACCCTATTTTTAATAAGACTTCTGCACTTTATTAACATCTATAAACTTAATAAAAGTATCTTCCTGAAATGACTCTTTTCCATTGACTAGAAAATCTGTAATGAAAAGCAATTTTTTAAATAAATACTATTCATCTCTTACCAAAATTAAATTAAAAATCCTAAAGTTCCAATGACTGATCCACTTGACAAGCTTACAAGATCTCTCTCTCATAACCACATAATGAATGCCACAGCTTTGATCTGTGGTGCAGTTAGCCTATGCACATTAAATTTGTTTCCCCTTACCCACATACTTTGAGATTATTTTTTCAAATTTTATTTAATAAAGGACTTACAAATAAAGCAATTTGAAAATTCAACAAAAGGTCTACAGAATATTTACAAAGTAATTTTCTAATTTCAAAAGGCAATCTAATTTTTTAGTTAATAATTCCCTAGGTTGGTGGCTCTCCAACAGTAAACAGTTTACCTGGACGGCTTTTATTTTTTCATCCTTTTTAAGATGAAAAATGCAGGGCTCCAACTCAATGAGCATGAGGTCAAGACCTGAGCTGAGATCAAGACTTGGGACACTCAACTGACTGAGCCACTCACCAGGCACCAACCCTGCCTTATTTTTTAAACTAATCTCTATAACCCAATGTGGGGGGCTTGAACTCCTGACCCAGAAACCAAGAGTCACAAGCTCTACTGACTGGGCGAGCCTGGCACCCCTACCTGGAGGCCTTTTAAAAATAAAATAGTGCATTGCTGGATCCCACACCCAAGTTTCTGTTCAGTAGCTGGACCTGAGAATGTGCATTCTTAAGCTCCTAGATGGTCTAGGAACCAGTTTTGAGAATTACCCACAGTTAATTTTCTAGAGCTGGATAATAGAACACAAAACAGTTTTCACGTTATTGTGCTGCACTGGCATCAGATACTTTAAAAGGGTGAAATTTCTCTTATCAGTGATTCTCAACACAATGCACATCATTCAAATCCCCTGGGATTGTGTTAATATGAGCGTTCAGATTCATTTGGTCAGCTGTGTTCAGAGATTGTGCACTGCCAAAAGCCCAAAAGGCTGATTCTCCTGGTTCCTGGGACCACACTTGTGGAAGCAAGAACAGAAGAGATGGTAAATCATTACAAGTAGATAAGAAATACCTTTAAAATAATACTTTGTGGACCTAAAAGGATGACCGGACATCATCACTGGAAATTCTGTCATGAAGGTCACAATGTAAATGTTCCCATAAAAGTTTGTATCTAACTTAACAAGATAATAGGAAAATTGTTACCTTTACAAAACATAGAAAGCAGCGAGGAAGATACGGAACTAGTATCCCTAGTATCAATCTGAATTTATGATATTAAACCATTTTTAAGATTATACACTTTCCAAGGAACTAAAGGCTTCTAGACTTGGGATTACTAAAAACCAAGAGGGAATTTCTTTTCTTAGTAAAGACCTGTTTGATAGGTCATTTTTACTCTCAGTTCATTTTTATCTGAGGACAAATACCACCAAGGAAAGATGAGGGCAACCTGGAGCTAAAAATAGCCTCCAACTTGGCTCAGAGAGGGCAGTGACCCTGGGAATCCCTTAATACAGGCAGAGAAGCAGAGGTTTCAGCTTCCACTATAAACTATTCACTAACATTCCACTAATTCAAAGCATGGGGACCATTACTACATATATTCATGAAATCAGCAGTGCCAGGATCAGGAAGTATGGTTAAGGAAACAGAAGGAAGGAACAATGTTTTAACAGACACTGACTAACCTGAGAGGAAATACTGACACACCAGCAGTTCCTAGTCTCTGAACTTGATTCATCCCAGAAGCTGAAATTCAGGAAGCTTCATCCATGTTTTCTTTCACCCTCCTAGGAATACAAAAAAGTCAAATTTAGCCAGTTTCCACAATCAATAAAATGGCAGATGTATTAAAATTCTTAATAGTAATCAATTTTCATTCAGGAAAGATTTTTCTTTGCATTCATTTTCTTGGAGAATATCAACAGACTTAAAATTCAGTTCAATTTTATGTTTTGGCTTAAACACCACTAAATCCTAAAGGTTGAGTCTCCCAAGTCTGCTAATAATTTTAAAATATTAAGAGCCTATTTTGCCAAATCCTTAGTTTTTATTTCCATAGGCGGGTCGTCTTTTCTGCATTGTTGATCCCTCAGCACACCACTGCTTGAAATCTTATAATCCAAAATTCTACATAGGATCCTGATCCCTACTCTAATCTGGAACATTTTATTGTACTTGTACCAGGGCAGGGCACACAAATACATTTCCTGTTTTCCATCAGAAAAAGACTTGACCCCCAAAGACTAGAAACAACTACCCTAAATTAGTATTGTTTCCAAAACCCATTTGGATCTCAAATACACCTGAAAATTGGATGGAGTATGAACAGTCCCCTCCCCCAAATCTGTACGTAAAAAAATATGAACACAAAATCCTACATGTAATTTAAGGGGATTCCAAATGATCCAACAGGACCCATGGTCCCAGTTATAAAACTTTAATATTTTTTCAAACAAGGCATGCCAAAAACCAACAAAAAATTTATCTTTTCTATATTTCCACCTACAAGTAGCATTCTACTATGCAGGATCCTTGTTAGGTATCGGTCAGTAAAGTCATTAAGGCATTCTTAAGTTGGTTTAGTGCATATTTATACTTCTGTAATTTTATCTTTAGTAAAGTTATTGCAGACAAGAATGGAACGCATAAACCAAACTGCACAACTGAACTATTCAAAATACTATCTTCTCAACTTTTCAAAAATGTAAACCCGCAATTTACAAAGCATTCATTACCTATATTGAAACCTAGGAAGGTAATCTCTAGAATTATCCAAGTTTAGTTGCCAATATTTAGTCTTTAAAAGGGTGGCTTAATATATGAATACTCAAAATCACTAGCGTTCTGTTTAAAGTGGTCTTACAAAGAAGTGACGAGGCTTATGGTACACTGGTCTGTCATAACCACTAACAATTACAGTGAGCCACTGCACATGAACATCCATTCCATGGTACTTCTAATTTGGATTTAAAGTCTGTAAAATCCTAGAAAGTTGATACACAAGGACAACTGATACATTTATTTTCTGATGCTAAAGAACAGCTGTCTCTATAAAGTGATACTGTTAAATACTGGGGGCGGGGGACAACAGCCAATAATTACATTAAAAAAAATTCTTAATTGAAATCTTAAAGCACAACTGTAACAAGACTATGATACCACTTTGGATGAAACTGGTCCATTTTTGGGTGCCTGGGTAGCTCAGTGGGTTAAAGCCTCTGCCTTTGGCTCAGGTCATGTTCCCAGGGTCCTGGGATCAAGCCCCACATCGGGCTCTCTGCTTAGCAGGGAGCCTGCTTCCTCCTCTCTCTCTCTCTGCCTACTTGTGATCCCTCTGTCTCTCTGTGTCAAATAAATAAATAAAATCTTTAAAAAAAAAAATTGGTCCATTTTTAAATTTTAGGATAAAACTGGCTCAATAAATGTTGCATACAAGTTCATGTTTGATTTTACCTTCCCATGCCAAAACATATGAATTGTTAAGAGTGAAAAATGACTACTCTAACCATACCCTACTTAGTCAGAAACATACAATATTTTCTAATGACTTTTCTTAAAGAACAAAACATTGAAGATATGGAAGGCCATTCTTAACAATTACTAACAATGCACCTAACATTCTCCCCTCTTTGAGTTAGAGAAGGTATCCTTTTCGACTGAGTACACAATCCTTACATTATATATAATTTGTATTACATAATATATAATAAATTACAATATATAAATTACAAGTATATAAATTATAATAATATATAAATTACAATAGAAGTACATTCTAAGAAAGAAATGTATAAAATATAGATACTTCAGCAAGCACGGAGGCTCAAAATACTCTATAAACGTGTTCAAATTAGTTTTACAGTAATTTACAAAAATTTGTTTAAAATAAATTGTAAATATCTATGAAACAGGAGTTTAGCAATGGCTCATGTTGAAAAGGCTTTGCCGGAAATCAATATAAAAGGTTATGATTTCTTCTGGAGTAGATTCCGATGGTATCAAACCATAAAGGAGCCACATTCTTTTATTGGCATGCTCTGCAGTGGGGTTTACCTTCTGAGGAGCATATGTTCTGAAGTCTGAGGTATGGAGGTGGGAGGATATCCATATTATCAAACATTACCATCAGAGAGAGCATATATAGAATAGAGCTCACAATCTAATATGATCCTTTGCTTTCATGACAAAGACAACTACACCACCAACCGCTAAAGCAATAAATAAACTGAACACTATTATTACAGGGAATTTACAACAGTGAAAATATGTAACACACTCCTAAGTGAAGTAATTTTATTTCAATGTTAACTAAAGATTATCTTTAAGCAACAAAGAATATATCTTTGGGGCGCCTGGGTGGCTCAGTCAGTTAGGCATCCAGCTCTTGATTTCAGCTCAGGTCATGATCTCAGGGTCCTGGGATCGAGCCCTACACTGGGCTGCTCTCTCAGTGGGAAGCCTCCTTGAGCATTCTCTCCCTCTCCCTCCGCCCTTCCCCAGGCTTGTGAAAGCACACGCTCTCTTGCTCTAAAATAAATCTTTAAAAAAAATTAAAATACATCTTCAAAGAGTATAAGGAAATAGTGTCTGATTAAGTGAATAATATATCCGAAGAAATTAGGCCAAAAATTCAAAAGGCATCATCTCCCAAGGAAATGCATAAACACCCATGAAAGAAGATCTCTAAAACAATGGACAATACTACAAGTTCATCCTTTTTGATGTAATATATTTTCAACTGAAGACAATGTAACAGATTACATTTCCAGTTAACTGAACAGTTAGTTGGAAGTTAGAAAAACATAAAAAAATTTCAACATTTTAAGTCTTCACCTCTTTTGGATTAAAAATAGGCAATAAGGGGCACCTGGGTGGATCAGTCTGTTGGGTGTCTGACTCTTGGTTTCAGCTCAGGTTATGATATCAGGGTTGTGGGATCAAGCCCTGAATTGGGCTCTGTGCTCAGTGTGGAGTCTGTTTGTCTCTCTCCCTCTACTCTTCCCCGACTTGTGCTCTCTCTTTCAAATAAATAAAATCTTTAAAACAAACTGTCAGTTAAATACAGCAAACTGGGGCTTTGATTTTTTTAATCAAACCCATGTATCTTCTACCCACATTAGCATGCCAGACATCATAATAAATGTTCAATTACATAATTTCTATTTTCTAGCTGATATTTTACAAAAAGCAAAAGTCCGTAATATGAACAATCAATTCTACATTCCCAACATCTGGCTTTCCAAAATTCTAATCAAGATACCCATGTTTTTTTTACATCAATAGGTTATACACAGATAAGTAAGTTTTACAATGGCTAGCAATGAAACCACACAACCTGGTTATGATAGTTGTCCCCCCACCCTTACCCATGGTTTCACTTTCTGTAGTTTCAGTTACCCACAGTTAACGGTCGTCCAGAGGCAGAAGATCCTCTTTTGATGTTTTGTCAGAAGGTCAATAAAAGCCTAATGCTACTTTTCCATGCTTACATTATTTACCTCACTTCATCACATTTTATCACATAGGCATGTCACCAGAAAGGTAACAGAACAGTAAGACATTTTGAGAGACACCACACTCATATAACTTTTATTACTGTATACTGTTATAATTGTTCTATTGATTAGTTATTGCTACTAATCTCCTCCTGTGCCTAATTTATAAATTAAAGTTTATCGTATTTATGTACATGCAGGAAAAAACATTTTTAAGGTTTGGTACTATCCACAGTCAGGCATCCACTGGGGCTCTCCAAAGTGTCCCCCTTAAATAAGGGGGGGCAGGACTAGCAAGGAGGGTTTGAAACACATATATACTTCACATAAAAAGGTATCCGAATAGCCACAGAGTGTATTACTAGGGAAAATAAATTGCTGAACACTATTATTACAGGGAATTTGCAGGACTAGGGAATTATGTATTACTAGGGAAAATTACTAGGGAAATATGTATTAAAAACCACAATGATACACCTCTACATACTCACTACAACAGCTAAAACAAACATGACTTGACAATACTGAGTGCTGGGAAGGATGCAGAGCAAAACAGAAATCAGGTACACTGCTCATGGGAGTATAAAGTAGGACACACATTTTGGAAAATTGTTTGGCAGTTTCTGAGAAACCTACACATCCCCTATACACAGCAATCCCACTCCCAGATATTTTCCCCAAGGAAAATGAAATGTGTGAATGACTTATACAAGAATGTTCACAGCAGCTTAATCGTAATAACCCTAAACTGGAATCTACCCCAAGAATATATCAATAGGACACTGGAAAAAAAAATGTTGCATATTCATTTAATGGTACACTATGCACCAATAAGAGAGAACCAACTGCTGATATACAACAACACAGATGAATCTCAAAAACACTACGTTGAGTGAAAGAAGCCAGAGGCAAAGAGTATACATTCTATGATTCCATTTACATTTTTCAAAAACATGCAAAACTAATCTGTGGTGACCAAAATAACACAGAGGTTGCTTTGATACAGGATGTACTGACTGGAAAGGAGCCCCTCAGATAGGTGGTTTATGAAAAATGAGGCTGTCAAACCAAACAAAACTCACAAATTTAAGTGACAGGCTATTCCAAATTTTTTTTTTTTTTTTAGATTTTATTCATTTATTTGTCAGAGAGAGAGGGAGAGAGAGCGAGCACAGGCAGACAGAATGGCAGGCAGAGGCAGAGGGAGAAGCAGGCTCCCTGCTGAGCAAGGAGCCCAGTGTGGGACTCAATCCCAGGACACTGGGATCATGACCTGAGCCGAAGGCAGCTGC